ACAGGTGCAGCGTCACACATGGGCTTCTTTGAGCCTCTTACAGGAGCGTCCGCACACATGGGCTTTTTCCCACATTTTGTTTCGCTGCTCTTAGCCGTCACTTTGATCGTAGGCTGCTAGGATCTGCACGTAGTACATTTGACCAGACTTGGACGCAGACCTTCAGAGGACCCTATGAAAAAGAGCCCTTGAAGTACATCCAGAGTGATGCTAAGTTAACTGCGCTGTACTAGGTGTTCACCCAGCCTCCCGATTGCGTACTGTGACCAGTTCACGTCGAACCAGCCAACGAGAACGATCCCCGTTCATGCCCCCGGACTATCGCGTGCGAAGACGCTTTGCCGGGACATATGGCGACCTGCCACTCATACGCGATGGGAGTGTCTTCATTAGTGAGTAAAATTGCAGCACTGCATCATTGAGTGCAGTGCTGTCTAACTGGACGGGTGTGCACACTCCTATATCGCATATTGAGGAGTTTAGGCAACGGTGAAGTTACCCAGTCCTTCAATAGATGTTCTGTAGGGGGCAACACTCGATTTCCTGATTTTACGAACTTAGCTCTCTAGAGGTCATGCGCGCCCTCTAATGGCTATTTGTTCTTGAAAGGTTTGCACCACTTCATCTTACATGTGTAGTGGTGTCAAGCAATGTTGAGAGAGTGCCTGCTTCGCGTATTGATGTGCATTGACTAACGGGTACGTTGCCTATTCCACCAATAGTTGTACTTATACAGGTACTCCTCAATCTTCTATTTTGCCTAACAAAATTGGCCCTATAGAAGGAATCCCAAACTTCTATAGGGCTGTTAGTCTTATTGTGTTGCGCACCACTGCATCATAGGTGCAGTGATGTCTTACTGTACGGAGGCGCCCATTCGCATGTCAAGCATATATAGCTTCGACAGATGTTCTTGCGGGCACTATCCAACTTACTGCTGCGTTGGCTGCATCACTGCATCATAAGTACAGTGACGTCTAACTGCTCCTCTGCCACGTCACTCGCTCTCGGTGACTTCTCAAGTGGTAAGAACTGCATCACTGCATCAGACGTACAGTGATGTCTAACTGCTTCTCTACCACGTCACTCAGACTTGGTGACTTCTCAAGTGGTAAGAACTGCATCACTGCATCAGACGTACAGTGATGTCTAACTACTTCTCTACCACGTCACTCAGTCTTGGTGACTTCTCAAGTGGTAGAAAAAAAAAAAAAATTATTTTGAAAAAATATGGCCCCACTAGAGGACAAGCCTCTAGCAGGGCCTGCGTACCATACGCATAATGTTAATGATAAGTCAAGTCACATCACTCTTTATTATTTATTTTCAACAACATATTTCTTTCGAATCACACACTAGTGATTCTTCTTTATTCTCTTGGGGGGATTTCCCCTTTTCTTCTCTTCTGCATCAGATTCACTGGAATCCTTGTCGACTTCTCTCGAAGTTGATGGCCTTGAGGGGTGTCCCCCTTGGATCCCAGCGATCTCAGCTGCTAATCTCCTGATGAAATCATTCTGCTCCTGGACCAGGTTTTGCTCTCCATTCATCGCTTTTTCCATGCGGTGGCGAAGAAATGTTATACCTGTCGGGCTGAAATGAACATTAGAGATATTGTTAATAAGAGTGATAGCGCTTAACTTACCTTATGCGCGCTATTTTCCAAAGAACTTGATGTGGGATGAACACCACATCTTTTTCCTTTTTTACCTTCTTAGCATCACCCATTTCCTGAAAAGGCTCGATTAAACCATCGTTCACTCCTTCCTAATTGCATATGTTTCGCGAGATTCCTAACGATAATCACCAAAGGATGATCACGAGAGTTATCACGGGAAATAGATACAATTTGGAGAGACGTGGTTAGGTGACCTTCAGGAAACCAGTGGTTGAAGGCATATTAACTGAGTGCTGTCTGTTACCTCGCCTTCAAATCCGCACTCTTCCGTAACACTCAGCCTAGCCCTCGTTGGGACTTTTATTACATGCCAACGAGTTGAGTTCACAGAAAGAGAGTTTAGGTATTTGAAGGGTAGGTTTAGTTGAGATCCAGGATGGCCACCACTCCTTCAAAAGGTGTGGTTGTGGCTCTCAACAGGTCTGCAAACTTTAAACATTAGTGCCAGCATATTAATAGAGTGCCCCTTAGCGGGGTCATCAAGGCTGCCTGAAAACCAGGTTCCGGGAGTGAAGTTCTGTGCAGAACCTCCTCGCATTCCCATAGCCACTGCTATAACTGCTGGAGTCAAGAGTCCTTGCACGGACCCTTGCTGTGGGATTCTATCCCCGGACACGGCACCTCCTCCCAATGTGAAGGATAACGAATACCAGCTAACGCTCTCAAGCCGCTCTGTTTCTGGCTTTGGTCACTCTTCTTCGAGAGTGTTACCTCAGCCTTCCACACAACGAGGCAAAACCGTTAACTGCGACGGGCGGTGTGTACAAATGGCAGTGACGTATTCAGCGTGATGTGGTTGATCACACTTACTTTCGAACTAATGGCTTGGCAGTGCCATACAGCCCGATGTGTACCATTCCGTCAATTTCTTGAAGTTTCAGTTGGATCATGCATTCTAGCCACGTCTTACGACGTGCATGGTCCACTAAGGCTTGCTCAGGTGTGGTACATCACAACCCGGAGGCCCCGTTGTGTTTCACCGAAGCAAAACACTCCGGAGGGTTGATCATGCCGACATATGAAAGCACATGACTTACGTGCATGGCGCGGCGACACACCTTTGCACATATCATACTAGGGAATCAATCGATACAATGCGGTGTACAATTGGTATTCGCAGGCTACCAGCATTGCCTACGTCTAGCAATCCAATCGCACAATTGAGATATTCACAATGTTTGCATTTTCGCAAAGCACCAACATTTCAAATATTGGAAAATCACATTGACACATAACGATACCCGTTTTCATTCGTGAAACTTTGGGAACACAGAAATCATTCTCGTCGAAAACGAAAATGTTTCATCCCCAAAAGTCAGGGTTTAATCGCATGTATTAGCTCCAGAATTACCGCAGTTATCCAATAGGATTTTCCGAATAAATGACATCTGCTCTAATGAGCCGTTCGCAGTTTCTCTTTTAGATGAACTCGGACATGCATGGCTTAATCTTTAACACGTTGACGACGAGCGACTCCTTCCTTGTCGCGCGCATGGGACGAGACGTTTTTTGCATGCAAAGCGCCGGTAACACAGGGCAAAATCTATTTTATAGCTCTGTAAAATCTCGAAATGCACAAAATGCCTTTGACTAGAGTACTCCAGACACGTTTAGAAACAAGGAAAAGTTGTTACTACTGAATGCTGGGTGAAATTTCAGTGACATCGCCTGGCATTTTCAAACCTCAGGTTAGAATAGGTTCTGAAGGCGCAATTTCACGCATTCTTCATTTTTATTATTAATATGAGCTTTCCTTTAGATGGTACTGGTATCCTGATCACATCTGAAATCTTCTACGAATTTTTCACTCAAGAACGACGCAAAAAACTTTGCGTACCTGACGGAATGAGCTTTTGTTTGACTGTTATCTTGTTCTTCATGATCGAATAAGAGATTTAAACGAGTCATTTCAAGGTCAAAAAAATTGTTTGTGAAATATTTGGCAGTTGATGGACTGGATAGGTACTTTTGTCCTGCCTATGAGTAAGACTGAGCCTACTTGACCATCATGGGAACCTAAGGCTAGAAATGGACATTCTACTGACGGTGACCTAATTAGTAAAGGTCGATATGAACAATTTTAGTGAGATTTCCAGTTTGCTGACGGTGGGAACTTTGTGGTTGTGATTCAATTGACAGCGCGTTTCTGCCACTGATAACTAATTCAGAAAAAACTCCCAGGAATTAGAAAGATCATAATTCGCAGACAAGTGTAGTAAGTTAGGACACTGAAGTAAACGTTGAAATAGAAAAGTCGCGGGTTCCATCTAAGTTTGCTTACTTTCAAGCTGTCGGTCACCATTGACCGACATCGTCCCATGTGACAGACTGCCTGTCGGTCAGCATTGACCGACATCGTCGCCAACGTGTTAAACTGAGTTCTTTGAATCTCGTTAATCCATTCATGCGCGTCAGGTTTTTAAGCTTGCCCTCCACAACCACACCCACTGAGCCGTCCCCATCGGCTCTTCAGGGGACCTGGGATTCCCTACGACCGCAATTAGCCATAGGTCCGACCCGGTTAGTAAGTTGCTTACTACCTTTTTGCGCATGAAAAGAAACAGAGCACTGGCCCTATTCAGTGTGCAGCACTTAGGTGCATGTAAAAGTGTCATAGAATGGTTAGCCATTCGTATCTGAACTGAGAACGGGTAACGTCCTTAGTCATGTCCCCTTTAGCGCAGCCTGCACCTGGAATTTCACAAGTCATCCTTAGAAAGGTGACTCTTTATTATCCAGTGAGTGCCAAGCATTGCACATCCTTAATCCATTCATGCGCGTCAGTAGTTAGCTGACGAGGCATTTGGCTACCTTAAAGGCAAAAGTCAGGCTCGTGTTTGGGCATTATGGCGCCTGAAATTGAGTGTAGAGATGGGAGGTGGAACGACAGTGAAGAAAAAACGCAAAGAAACCGTCGACAAGACCGAAATCGAAACCCCTTCCTTCTAGCAGTGAAGGAGGCTTGCTCGGGGGAGAGCCACGTCCAAACGAGTTTTCCGGATATGCCAGCCGTTCCATCGGTTGATACGGCAATCAACCTAGCTGATCTCACACGTTAGGCCAGCCACGCACCACATCCCGCGGTGGGCGGGACCAGCTGATGTAACGAACCCATCGCTGTAAGTAGTAGGCCAGAGGCCTTGACGGCGCGCAATCTCGAGTCAGGAGTGTGGCATCACCCCTCTGAGCGCATTCCTGGAAATATTAGTGATGGAAAGGCCTTCTATGGTCACCTAATCCTGACTCGTGGCTTTAAGAGAGTCATAGTTACTCCCGCCGTTTACCCGCGCTTACTCGAATTACTACGATTTAACATTCAGAGCACTGGGCAGAAATCAGAGACAGTAAACGTCCGCAAGGACCATCTGTCTCCTCTGTTTTAATTAGACAGTCGGATTCCCCGAGTCCGTACCAGTTCCAGTTCGACTGTTTTGATGGTCGGTCAGGATACTAAGCCCGAAGACAAAGCACACACCTGAAAACGTCCACAAGGCAGTCTTGTCACTAGTCCAGCATCAGCGTAAGCATCAGCCAGCCACGGACGAAACCGCACAAGCATCAGTTAACAGGCCAACCGACCCAGTCACTGGAGCCAATCCTTTTCCCGAAGTTACGGATCTAATTTGCCGACTTCCCTTACCTACATTATTCTATCGACTAGAGGCTGTTCACCTTGGAGACCTGATGCGGATATCGGTACGATGCAGCACAGATTAATAGCCTTCCTTGGTTTTTCAAGGGCCGTCCAGAGAACACGAGACATCACAGAAACCGCGATGCTTTTACGGAAACAACGTCCCTATCTACGGCTGAACCGATTCCAGGGAGTCCGTTCCTTAACTAGAGAAGAGAACTCTAGCTCGGTCTCTGAGCGACGTAACCAAGTTCGAATGCGTTACCGCGCAAGTGACTCAATGAGTCACAATCTCTGTGTCTGCGTTAGGGAATATTAACCCTATTCCCTTTTGATATCCGAGAGAAAAGAAACTTTTCCCTCTCAATGATACAAGGCATAAGCCAGTATCTTAGGATCGACTGACCCACATTCAACTACTGTTCACGTGGAACCCTTCTCCACTTCAGTCTTCAAGGATCGAACTTAAATATTTGCTACTACCACCGAGATCTGCACTGACGGAAGCTCCAGCTGGGCTCACGCCCAAAGCCTTCGACGCAACCGCCACGTCCCTCCTACTCGTTGCGGCCAGGCGATAGACAACGCACAAGCCAGCAACGGCTGGGTATAGGTCTCTCGCTCAAGCGCCATCCATTTTCAGGGCTAGTTGATTCGGCAGGTGAGTTGTTACACACTCCTTAGCGGGTACCGACTTCCATGGCCACCGTCCTGCTGTCTATATCAACCAACGCCTTTTATGGGGTCTCATGAGCATGTCTCGCGTGTTACGAACAAACTTGTGAGACATTTTAGTTACCCTACTTGGTTGTAGGCGTTGAGGAGCGAGAGTGGTCCTAATTGCTAAAGGGCCTGAAAAAGCGCGTTCTTCAAGTGGCTTTTGAAGCCTGCCCGTTCGGAGCAGCGCCGGCAGAATCGATTGCGCAATAAGCCGCCATGGCTACCATTGTCCCAGTGGACCTCCATCTTTTTTTGGTTCTCTCTATCTATGCTTTCCACTCTTCAATACTATTACCCAGTGATTTTGTGATGCTGTGGTGTGTATGTTATAGTATGCTAAGGTTCAGGTGCATGTATATATGCTGCGGTAGGATTGCACAGCATTAGATACGTATGTCATACGTATCTAATGATGTGCAATCCTAACGTAGCATATACGTATGCATTAGATACGTTCGATCGTCCAACATATTCGATCTGATCGGACGTATCTAATGCTGTGCAATACCTACGATCGATGAAATTATCAATGATACGGACCCGGCGATGACAGCGCCCCATAGAGGTGGCTGCGCACGTATCGATCGAGGGGGGCGCGCCAGCGATTGATCGCTCCCTGCCACAACGGCCTGTGACCCGCACAACGGGAGCGATGGCGCCCATCGCGCGATTCACATTACTCCCATCTTGACCAAATCGCTCCAATCGCAAAGTCTGACATCGGCCAGACACAACACTACGCCGTGGTACCTGCGGTTCCTTCAACGCTGTCGTTGATCACTCTAAATGGGTGCCCATGCCCTGCTCCGTGAGTATTCTCCATTCCTCCTCTGGTATGGCTGACGTCGATGAAGGCCATTCATTCGTATGACGGGTGAAAGAAGGACGCCTCTAAGCGGCTACGATGGAATACGAGAGACTACGGGCAGGAGCTACGCAGATGATTGCAGAAGTGTGGTCTGCGGTCATGCGGTCTGGACGAAGTCGAATCGTAGAGTGATTTGCGGAAGGCGACGAAAGGTCAGGCTCCTCTCTTTCCTGGAACTTCTCGAACCATCAATCCATCGCACTGCGGCATTCGTGTTGGGACCAGACGCGGCCCAGAATGTAGGTGTCGTGACTTGCGTAAACTCTGTAGTGAAGGCGACCATGGGTCGCCTTTACTACAGAGTTTACGCAAGTCACGACACCTACATTTTCTGCAGCGTAGAATTTCGAGCCCAAGTTGCATCTCCCCCGAATTCAGCTCCAAGTACTGACGTATCGCTTTGCCGGAGCATAAGTTAATTTTTCTTTTGATCGCCGAAGAGCCTCGGCTAGCACGCCAACGCGCGTATTGATCGATTCTCCGAGGGGTATGCGCTATGTGGGCTGCCTTGAAACAGCTTACAAAACTGAACAAAACTCACTTAAAAAACAGTTCAGTATCAAGATCATGAACACTGCCAAATGATGCACATTTTGAATCCCAATCCTCAAAATAGATGTGAATGTCTTGATCTTCAGTACCATACAACCTCGTACACGGTAACCGTTTTGATCTACAGTCAATGGTTGTCGTCGAAAAACACGTCCCGCCAAACTCGATAGACTGGCAAAATCTTAGAATGTGTTCATTGTGGAGAAGATAGAGGCCCACACAAGGGGTCGGCGATAATCTTCGATCGTGGATCAGAATTACAAAATATGAGTAAAGGAAAAGAAGATGAAAGGGTATTTCAGATTGAAATTTACCTTACAAAAGTAGATCAGTACACAGCACTTTGCGTAGGATTTTGACCTGATTTCAAATATGAAACCATTTTCAAATTTTCTTACCTGCAACGGAGGAACCGGGGGAAGTGCAGTACTTTTCTCAATTTTGCATGAGCTGTAGTGTTCACCGTAGCGAGTCACGAGCAACTATTGGGCTCTCGGATGTTGTGTAACTACCCAAGACGCGCACGTGCGTGACAGCACTCGTCAATCACGCTTTAGCGCCTTAGTAGTATTACACCGTATTATACTCTATATTGAATTAGCGTCTGCGTCAGTATGGCGCTGATATGGTTCCAAACTGTGCCGGCCTGGCACTTAATGGTGCCAGCGACGGCGATGTCAATTCGTTATCAGGATGCCAAATAACCGCATACCTAGGTTTCTACCGAGGTGCGGCGCCAAACTGACGCAAACTGGCTTTAGATGGTGTCAATGTCAATAAGGAATGGCGGGTCCGTTCTCGGGATACTAAATAATTCCTATAGACCGACTTTCGTAGAAAAAGATGCATTAAATCTATGTTTATAAAATCAGCAAGTAAACCACTTTTCGCGATTTCTTCCGACCACACCACGAATCCTGCTAGAACGGCAAACCTTCGATAGCTTTAAATTTTGCAATTCATAGAGTTTCCATCTAAGGCATGATATTCATTTCTTTTAATTACTAATCCTACAGAAAATAGGGCATGAAAATAAAGATTTCACAGGCTTCGTGAAATCTTTGTCGAATTTAGACAGCCCTAATCTCCTTGGATACCACGCAGTTCATAAATATTATGAAGCATCCTACTATGTATAATCGGCTAAGCGTATCTGTTGTGTGTCCGTGTGTGTGTGTCTTTCACCGGAAATTCATAGCTCGGGCACCAGTGGTCGTCAGGAGTTGATTTCAAGATATGATATAGGGGGTGGGACGGGAACATATTTGGTGGGGGACAGAAAGTGATAACGACTGATAAGGGCTGATAAAAGGCGCTAGAACGCAAGTGTCGCGAAATTCATAGCTCGGGCACCAGTGGTCGTCAGGAGTTGGTTTCAAGATATGATATAGGGGGTGGGACGGGAACATATTTGGTGGGGGTCAGAAAGTGATAACAACTGATAAGGGCTGATAAAAGGCGCTAGAACGCAAGTGTCGCGAAATTCATAACGCGCGGCTCAGCAGCAATAAAGTGCTGTCTTATAGATATGGTGCAGGGAACGGGACGGAACCATTTGGTGGATGACAAAGCGAAATTATGAGGACTGATAAGAGCGATTAGCTCGAAAACGGAGAATTCACTAAATTTGCGGATGCGCGGTGAGAAAAATGCTTAATTCTATTCGCGATGCCGTCGTCAGCATCCTTTCGACCGCTAATTTGCCTAAGGACTTGAAATGCTCGTTAGCGGGAATACGATAATCCTTTGTTTGTGTTCCAATGTCACCGGTGCAAGAAATTGCTCAACCGCTAAATCATTGCAACATCCGAGGCATGGCAGTTGTTTACGCTTGGAGTTGATAGTAAGCAACCAAAGCAACTGTATTGCTCATTTCAAGCCCAATCGGCCGTAGACCGGTTGTTCTTCCTCAGCAACATGGTACTCTGCCGATTGATGGCGTGAACTTTCGACTGAAAGTTGTTCTGTCTCAGAATCAGTGCTCTCTGTCGATTGATGGGGTGGGGTTTCGTCTGAAATCTCTCTTCTGCCTCAGAATTAGGACACTCTGCCGATTGTTGGGCCTTTGACTGAAAGGGTTGTTCTGTCTCAGACACAGGATACTCTGTCGATTGACGTGGTGCGGTTTCGATTGAAAGGGTTGCCCTGACTCAGAAACAGTGTTCTCTGTCGACTGGTGGTCTAATAAATGAATACAAAAAAACACAGGACCAGGCCAGGAATGCTCAGAAGGTGGGTGGCACGAGTGCGGGATACATACATCTCGCGCTGTCTCGCGTGGTTTACAAGTGCGGGAGTGTGTGTGCTGCACTGACGTCAGTGTGTCAAGGAGAAACAACTGGGCATTATTGCAAAGTTCACAGTTCAGTCTCTTAGAACACGAGCATATTCCTCGATATATTTATATGCCGAATCTTTTAATTACAAATACAATATGCAAAACACATAATCAGTTAGTGACATGAAGGGACATAATTCAGATCAATCGCAAGCTATTGTTAGGGCTTCCAGGTACCTGCCTGCACGGTATTTGGGAAAACTTTGAAGGCAGTTTAAAAGAGTCATCTGAATCACGTCAATGTTATCATGTAGTTTTGATCTGTTCTGAATGTAGGCCTGAATACAAAAAAAGGAAACTATCACGGCGATTATCTGGTGCAAGTCTATGAGCTGCCTCGTGGTTCATCAAGCTATCTTCTCCTTCAAAATCGAGTAGGTAAGGCAACGACTTCCCTAGGAAATTCTTTAGGCTACTGTTTCTGTCTTTCTGCTCAGAAGCGCCATTTAAAATCGATGTTTACGCAGTGCACTTTAAATTCTATCCAGAATTCCTAGGCTTAACGGGAATCGTGGGTGTGCCACGGAAAGAACATTATTCGACAAGAAAACGATAAGAAAGCAGTGTGAGTGAGAGCTGAGCTCGTCGAACAGAAATTAGATAGCCGTGGAGTAGTCAGTGTCAAACCAAATCGCCAGGCAGTTCACGGACTGTCGTTCCATTTTCTCTGAAATTAGTATCACTGCCACCTTAACTGAACAAGCACTGAAACGGACTTAAGCTTCACCAACATCTCTACTTTTACCGAAACAAATCACAATTTCTGATTAGAAAGCAGATAATTGGTAAAAAAAGGAAAAGTCTATAAAAATATATAAGGAAGTTGTTTGTCAAAAATGAAGTCGATCACACTTCTACCAACTTTGGTGCATGTCTCTCGGGCGGTTCGTAGTCGTTGTGTTTTGGGAAAGGCACTCTGAAAACATTCATTTATGTGAAATTCAAAGGCACTAGGTACGATGGCTGGTGAGCGGTGCGGCTAAAATGACGTCACTGAACATGGTTGGTGGAAGGAAGGCGGTTCATTTGATAGGCGATCCAACCACACCTCCTAGCCACGCTGGGAGTGCGGTTGGGACCGCTATTAGGCCTTTCCCAGCAATGATGTTCAATGACGCCATCAAAACCGCACCGCCCTCCGTCACCAGAACCGCGCGCCCTCCAGCTATCGCGATCACCGCGTTTAAAGTTTGAGCACCAATTTCTCCTGCTCACCTTCTTGCGTTGTTCAACTCGACTCTCTTTCGAGCGTTGCGGAACATCTTGCTGTTCTTTATCCAGGCATCCCATGCGTAAAGGAATATAGCATATAGGAATGGAAGAATGTCGATGAAAATTAGCAAAAGCACCGTGTATGTTGGGAAAAGTGAGTTTTTCATCTTTGGAATGCATGGCTGCTGAAATGAGAAAAAAATATGCACACGAGAGAACATAATGAATGGGAACTGTCCGTGACCATCAACATGCCCCAAGCAGGGTCAACCGTCATTTTCACACTTTTTCAGTAATTTTGCAAACCTCCTTTAGGGGAGTGTCGATGCGACCGCCCCTCCTCTTCTCCGACCATCACCCTCACGATCATGGCTGTTTCCATAGTATTTGATTCTGAGAACAGTTGACACAACCCAACCCCGCTCACTTTTGCTCCGAAACAGCCGTCTTGCGGAGGGGGGGGGTAAATCGATATCATCCACCGATTTTGCTTAATTCTTACTCTTTCGTAAATCTTCTTAAGCAAATTCGCCAAAAAAACCCGTCCTAACACACCTTCTTACGAACTCCGTCCAGGGTCAACCGTCACGTTCGAACATTTTCGGGATTTTTGCGACCCCCTAGCTCTCGAGGGGGTCCAGTTGCGACCCCCTGTTTTTGTTAATAAGAGTGCTAGACATGAATCCGTTGCGCCAGAAAGTTCTGCGCCGCCGCCGCAGAAAGCGTCTGCGTTGCGGCGTCAGCCTTGGAGCGCGGCAGGTATCACCCGGGCGCTGGAAGAACGGGACGCGGCGAAGAAAAAATTTTAGAGGGGAATAACTTTCTTGGGACGTACTTTTTTGACTTGTTGAGGTAGATTTTGACTGTGCCTGAGGTGCGCTTTCAGAAAACTACAAGGATTGCCTAACTCTCCGGAAAGTACTTCTGTTAGAAGTGGAAAACCCAAAATTTTAAGAACCTTCAACTTTGAAGGCCCATAATATCTTTCGTATGCGACCTTTTGGAAAGCTGTAAAAAGTTTCAGAAACTTCAAATATTTCTCTATCAAAACAGTATAAAAAGTTTAGTGATTGTCCCCTTTTTCAAAAAATTGTCCCGTTCGAACATTTTTCGTGCAAAAGCGAGTTTTTGGGCTTTCAGCGACCATAACTCACTTCATTTTCATTTCTGTGATGCACTTTTTTCATGGGGTGAAAGTACAGGATTTGCTCTTTCTAACAAGCACCAAACCGTTTTTCAAAGTTCATTTTTCGAGAAAATCACACGTTCGAACATTTTTTCCCATAGGTTTTTGAGCAGCACATGCGAGTTTTTGAGCTTTCAGCAAATAACTTCAAAGAGCTTGTTGGGGAGGGCGAAGACATTTTTGAAGACTACGAGATTTCCGCTTCTTACGTGTTTCACAGTACATTGGAAGAAGCGTCCCCAAAAAATAGGTCTCCAAAGAACTTTGTTTTCCTTTCATAGGGATGCATTCCAACTGTTCTTTACTTTAAGAAAACACTGTAATTTGCCTAAAACTGTCTCTCTGTGCATAATAAATCGAATCTAATGCGGTCTGCACAAGCAAGTCTTGCCCTCGGATACGCCACGCACGCGCCTGTGGCTGGCAGTCCTCGAAATTGCGACCCCCTTCCGACCAAAATGCGACCCCTCGTTCCCTGACTCCGTCAACCTGCGTTCCCACATGATAACATTGTTAAACAAAAGAATGCGACCCCCTTCCCGAAACCACGAATGCGACCACCTCGTTCGAATAGTGCCAATGGACGGTTGACCCTGGTCCCAAGTCACTTGCCGGTGTGGTCCAATACCGGATCAAATTTACGGCCCGGATCAAGTGGGATGGCATGACCCTATAAAGGTCACGTTTCCATTCCATGTTCTTATCTCTCGATCCCCTGCTTCCTTCGACCTTATCAAACACCCAGCAACCACATTCGGGTCCCCATTGGTTTCAGTTTACGGTACAATTTTGCTTGAATATTTGCTTCTTTACGAATCCATTTGAGAGAACAACATTCAGTTTTCGATGTGAATGGCACTTTCTAAGGAGATTTATGTTGCAAGAGCTAGTTTTACGGCATACTTCAAATGCCATCCTTCGTTAGCTCCTCCTCTTTTGCGAGAACGTGAAGTGCAAGAGCGGCTTGCGTGTGTGTTTCCGAGTAGAAAAATGTGATAATGTGGTATAATTAGTTCCGCAATAGAATTCTTCGCATTGCTACACGAACTTCAAAAGAAGCGATAACGATAAAGGGGGTAGCGCATTGGGGCAGTATATGCGCCACACGAAGCAATACTTGGCTGCCAAGGAAGCGAGTGTAGCGCTTTCACGACGAAAGGTGCGCTGGTTGCTGAGCAGGACTTGAAAGCGCTCCGCCCCAAAAGCGATCCGCCCACTAGTTTAGTTGGTGATTTGGACGAGCTGCGTTGCCAGCAGCGGCACAACTGGAGCAACTCGACTGGAGCATGGTTTGGCATGTGCCACCAAACGCGTTGCGGTAAACTCGTCCATACGTCCGCTTGTCTGAGCTGTTGCTGTTCATGAGTGAAAATCAACGGCCTATACAAGGAGGACAATATAGCGTTTTCTTGACGGATTTCTCGCTTTCTCTGCTTTTTTAGCCACTGGCGTACCACTGAGCACCCCCACGTCCCCTCTAAACCCTTTCAGACCGTAACCGCTGCCTTTAGGGAACTACGGCATAGGCCTCTTAGTTGAGGTTGGATAAGAAAATAGACCTGACAAAAAATCCGAAATAGTCATTAGTTCCAAGATGTACCAGAGGGCGGAAGTTGTATAGTGAGAATGGCGCCGATTACCGCGCGCGTGATCATGGATCAAAATTATGGACAACGCACCGTCCAGTTCAACCATGCCTTCCATCTCTAAGCGGTTCAGCTATTCTTTACCTGACAGTGATTTGTACATACATTGGCTGCCTTCTGCAAGCTACTGTTTAGGCCAAATCGCATTCAAGATGCCGCTATGATTCTGAGTGAGAGAGAATGCGTGGCGCATTCCATCCCAACCCAAAATGCTTTCATGCTTTGAGGCTGCATGAGTCTGAAGGTGCCCTCGACCGCACCTTTAGACAGTTTTTCTGAGGCTTCCGCAAAATTTTGAATTTTATTCTATTCGCCTGTCTTGGTGATATACGCAATATGTTATCTACAGGCCTAGCTACCGTGATTTTTATTAGCCAGACAACTGGCACACCCATTTCGCCACCTTTGATCAGGGGCGAAGAACGTCATAACCGTGACAAGTATAGCGACTGAGTCACAATTGCCATTTCCTGCAATTTTTTTTACCGCAGCTGTCTGTGAAATGGCCGGCGATAAATCCCTTTGGGCGTGGAACTAAGTGCCTCGAAGAATTTTTGACACATAGACGTACCTGAAGATCAAATTTCACCAGCAATTCGTGGGTTACAAATTCACAAGCGAATCGTTCTTTGAGGCTGTTGATGTGGTATTCATCCCTTGGATACGCTTCAGTAAAAAGACGGTCCACCATCTGAAAAGTGAATGTGACGTGATTTTCGAGCTGGCTCACTCGATGCGCGGATGTGCTCTCCTGACTCGTAGGTGAGCGAGGAGGGCACATCTTCGCATCTAGTGAGCCAGCTCGAAAATTTCCAAGAGAAAAAGGCTGCTTTTCACACGGCTAGCTCTAAGTGCTCGGACAGTAAGGGAACAGACAGAAAGAAAGGACAGAAACTCGACAGAAAAGAGTCGCACGGTAGAAGTATAAAAGTATACGAACACTCTGCTTCCAAGAACAGATGCGCTCCAGTGCAGACCTCCACACCACAAGTGACGACGGCCTCCAAGTAAATCTGGTAACTAGTGTTCATAGTGATAGCTGATAGTTGGTAAATGATAGTTGTAATTAGTGACAACTGATAGAATACAACTGCAACAGGCTAATCATTTCATTGGCAGAAAACATTTACATTCTGCGAAAGCCGTCGTCACTTGCGTCGTGTGGTCAGCACTGGTTTTTGGAAACTGGGTATGCACATCAATACTGCATCAGGCAAATTCGGAATCAGTACGACCCTGCTCAACGGAAATCCCTTCTACGGCCCAATTTTGGATCCCCTCTTT